TAGCCTCCAGGAAGACATACCATGATCCAACAGAGGAGTCCGAAATTGATCCATGCCTCAGCAATGGATCGGTGCCAAAGGTTGATACACAGAGTTACCATAGACAGAAACACAGCGCATGATCCTGCAGCTATACCAGCCTCGTACCAATACCATTGTGACCAGCAGAAGTCCTTGACTAGCCAGAAGTACAGCTGTAGGTAGACGAATGATTTAATGGGAATGTCTAGGTGGTGAGAGTAGGTAGGCAGTAAGGGGTGGCCTGAGTGGTACCTAGGTCTGTTCGAGTCAGAGAGGCCCCAAGTAGACAGTATACTGGGTTATAACTTTTCAAAGAGAGTCAGATGTGAGTGCATCGAATTAATTCGAAAGTGAAGTGATAGGACATCTGCTGGGTATCGCATGTGCGATTTTATGTTCGTATGTATGTTCGCGCAGTAGTCCTAAAATGCACACTCAATAGTGACATTGGTGTGGGACGTTGCAGAGTGAGTGAGTACGCTTATAGGATATCACCTGACTCATTGTCCATGTAGGACTACACACAAAATCTGACTTAGATTTTTTTATTTAAATAAGCTTAGTCTATGTAGACTAGATACAAAATAGGCTTTGTCTATATATACTACATACAGATTTCGATTTAGAATATTTTAAAATAGGCTTTGTCTATGTAGATTACATACAAAATAGGCTTTGTCTGTGAAAACTACATACAAATTCCGATTTAGAATATTAGTAAATAGGCTCTAAATAATGGTATATCTGCCGTCGCAGATAAAGACAGCGTTCGTGTACACAGACGCAATGATGTGCTACGTATGTGGCACCAGGACAAAAGATAAGCTTGCTAACAAAATAGTTGTATTGCAGTACAAAGAATACACATGTCACAATCAGAAGAAATTGGCGAGTGGCCATTGTGAATATTACATCCAAATCTACTTCAGCAAATCTCTTGGAAGCAGACACAAATTCAAGGCTACATGATATATTCACAAATTTAGTGCACCCCATTCTACATGGGATTGTGACAAAAGAAATGTGTGCATCAAATTGGGATCTCGTCATTTCCAGACACAAAACAGTAGATTCATATACTATACATACCATATACTATACATACCGTCAGTGATTGCAGACCATCGTACGAGATCCACCACTTGAACGACCACCTCGGCAAAGAATCATTATCCACGGTACCATCAGTCACATCATTGAAAACCCAACCCTTCACAGCACATGGGAGAGCTGCTCTCATCGCTTGTACTTCAGGCCGGTAACCAGGGAGCAGTGCTCGCTGGATCGGGCCGGCCTTGCCTCCCTCTGCTGTCATATTGCCAATAGTGTATATATAATATTCTGCAACTCAAGGCAGTCAGCACCGATATTGAAAGACAGCGTAGCAACACACCACCCTATGTCGTATGAGCGCGGTGTTCACTTATTGCAGTTATATATAATTAATTAATTATATATAAATACATCTCCCACGTCAAGTTTGAAATTGAGGAGGCTTGTGGAGGCTTGGAGCACTCAACACTCAGGTGGTACGGGTTCATAGCGCTATATTTAATTATTGATCAAAAATGTTTCAAACGACCCACTGGGCCCCATCCCCCAAGTCCCAAGTCCCACGGGTCGAATGCTTAAAGATCGCATTTTAAAAATAAATATTAACTCTAAAAAGCTCTTTACTCGAATCATGCAAACATTAGAGGGGGTTAAATGTAACATTCAAAATGTGGTCACACCCCCACGGGACCCAGCTCACAGGCTCACGAGTCACGACAGCTCGGGCCAGCCTGAGCCTGTCGCTCGGGAATATATTCATTAGTGATTACTGTTTGTAGTTTACGTCCTAAATACGTCAATTGAGGGGCGAGCAAGCACTGCCACCGCCACACAGCCACGCACAGTTTGCCCTACAGTCAAGACTCACGACAGACCTCATTACGTTTTACGTTTCAACATTTAAATTTTTAAGTATACGTTATGAGTTTTTTAAAAACGGTTTCATAGTCCCAAATACAATTTTTAATGGGCAATTTCCAAGAGGTCAGAGCGTTGTTGATTGTTCAATTCTATCCTGCCAACCGACTTGTCAACTTCCTTCCGTTCAATTTGTGTGTTGAAATAAGGCGCACCCACTAGCCAGGTCAATGTGAATATATTTCAGGCCGGAATATCAGATGTAAACGTTGCAACGTAAAAATATCAATCTGTAAAAGCATAGCCTTCATCTAAATTGAAACATTAGAAAGCTACGATAAAAGTTATAAAACGCTGCACTTTTATTCCTGACACCCCTTTTTGAGGTCCGCCACGATCATATTAATTTATCGCAGTTGCACTGAACATAATCGTATAGTATTGACGGTCGTAAACTGCAACGTTTTGTTTTTAGCTATGTGTAGAATTTGGGATTGTAGGCTCTCACTCACTCACTCTCTCTCTACTACTACTACTATTATAGAGAGAGAGAAGATAGAGTAGTAGAGAACGAGGGTCAAGATACTACTAGGGAGTGAGAGAAGCACTGCAGCACTGCAGCCAGGTACTCGGTCTGACACTTGACAGCTCGTGCGACGTGAGGCGTGAGCCGATTTTAAGCCAAATAGTCGGGTCAAACTGTGAATCTATTTCAGGCCGGAATATCATATGTAAACGTTGCAGCATAAACATATCAATCTGTAAAAGCGTAGCCTTCTTCTAAATTGAAACATTAAAAGGCTATGATGCTTCACTTTTATTCCTGAAATTCCTATTTCGGTCCGCCACGATAATATCTATTTATCACAGTCGCACTGAACATAGTCGTATAGTATTGACGGTCGCAAACTGCAACGTCTTTTGTTTTTAGCTGTATGTGTAGAATGTGGGATTGTAGGCTTTCACTCACACACACTCTCTATTACTACTACTACTCTCTCTCTCTCTGAGAAATGACAGAGTAGTAGAGAGCGAGAGACAAGATGGTATTTCCTAGAGAGTCAGAAAGAGTGAGAAGACAGGGCATGTCTGTGCAGCACTGCAGCCAGGTACTCGTGCTGGCACTTGACAGCTTGTGCGACGTGAGGCATGAGCCGATTTCAAGCCCAATTGAAATCAGAGCCGATCTGCGGACAGGACGAATCACGAGTCTCAGCGTCAGCCTCCTGCCCACTTTCAAAACTGAAAGTCCAAGGTATTTATAATGCACCGTACCGGTACCGGAATTTACTACCGGTGTGAGGCTGATTTGTTTTTTTATATAAAATAAAATAAAAATCCACAGATCCAGTGACTATTTAGTTTTTGTTTTGTTTTGGTTTTGGTTTTTGTTTTTGTTTTTAAAAAGACGCCCTTTTTGTGGAAAAATATCAACAACAAATAAAACAACAACAAGGACTTTTTAGCTTTCGTCTTCTTTTTTCGGTCTCTGGAAAGATTACTCTCACTCTGTCTCTCATCACTGATCACAGTCACAAATTCACAGCCACACACACGCGCGAGAGAGAGACTGAGCGTGCGGTGAGAGTCTCTCGGTAGAGTGTAGAGTGTAGACTCGTTTGTACATATTTACTGTCGAGAACTCGAGACAGTCGATTGAGTCGACTTACGACTGTTTACGTAAAGTACATATACATGTATGTTTTTTATATAAAAACAGAATATTAAATTACCTAAATTGTATAGTAAATACTCTTAGAGTAGAGAGTATTGATGTTAGAATTTAGACCGGTCAAGCTTCTACTCCACTGCTTGATTATTTGCCACAGATTGAGAGTAAATATGTCACCAGACAGAATGAATGTTCATGATGTCAGAAGCTCAGAAGATCGCCGAAGCCAGGTTTGACATGCGACACAAAAAAAAAATACAATACCAATCATGGTCTTCTAAATTGTACATACCAATATAACAGAGTAAAATTACGAAATAAACGTATCGACACCTTAAGGCGGACAAGCCCCAGTGACAGTACACCTGCCCCATGACCCAGAGTGCCCCACTCTCTCTAACAATACTGTACTAGAGAGTGTAGCTTCAATCCGTTTTGAAGGGGCCCAACTCCAACTCCCAACTACCAACTCCAAGCCCCAAGTGGGTCTTTTATGTAAAAACAAATATAAATGAGATAGAAACACTCGAATAAAGGCCCACTTTGTTTTTTTAAATAGTGCTTTTAGGTCTCTTGTAGGTACAAACCTATATTAATATTGGGCAATAATCATGGCAATTTGAACCAGAAGGCTCCGAATATGCACCCATAGCCACAACTAAAGGGCAATCACGATCGTTGAGCGTAAACGTATATTGTCATTTGTGTACAGCTGTAAATGGGGGTTTTTTAACTAAACAATGTACACTGTACTGTATCGTGTGATGGCCATAGAATCATAGATCTGCAAAATCCGATTTCATGGCGAGTTCCAAGTTTCCAACTTCCAAGATGTATGTATTCATAGAGGGACAAATGACTGAAAGTCAGAAAATGAGATGTCCCCTCTAAACTGTCTTTTAATATATTGGCCCTGTGGGAGTGTGCCGTGTGTGGGCCGCTCGAGGCCTGACCTGTGGACCTGTGACCTTGTGAGCATCGAGCAGGTTTGATTTTACACTCAGTTACATTAGTGCACGGAGCCACTCACAGTGCAGTCTCCACATAGATAGCAGCGAGCACGCTCTCTCATGTTCGATACTTGATCGACTACATATCCGTTAGAATTTGTAAGTCGCAAAGCATCCGAAATAAATAAATATCACTATCCTTGAATAGCCTCCTAAAAGTTCTATTTTTAATAGAGGTAATGATCCTTGTGGGAGATCGGGACTTTTGAAGCATCCCGGTCCCCTCCCCCCCCATCATCATGGTAGAAATATAAGGGCTCTGGCGGCGCCCAGTCTTGAGTCGTGAGTCGGCCACCCATTTGGAATTTTACTTCGAGAGAGCAAAAGTGCTTACTATTATTTGAATTTGCCAATTATTAAAATAACAAACAATATAAACGTCG